GTCTTTCAGGCGTAATATTTTCCCACACTCAGATCACTGAACTGGTAGCTTGCTAGTATTATATAGCATCTTCTTTCTCTTATACGAACTTTGTGATTCTTTAGAGTGTTTAACCGGACTAACAGATCTTTCCAATCACCACTGATTTCGCCGCTCCCTCAGCTCTCTGCCTTTAGCTATCCTGTTTTTGTTTTATGTTTGTCAGAATGTCTCTGCTCTGCTCGTCTACGATCGCCAAGCTCTCCTCCACCTCAGACCCTCACTGGAGTGTATATTGCTGCCCAAACCTACATCTGGCAACCATAAATCGTCCCCCCCCCTCCTCTACTGTTGGATATACCCACCTACCTGCGCCGGTTGCCCTGCATCCTGCCTCGCCGAAAGCGCTTTAGACGACGGGGAAAGCGTGGTGGTGCACTGGTCCATCTTAAGGCATACCTGACGGCTTCTTCTGTGAATTATCCACGCCTCGGATGTCATGGCCCTCCCGCTGCACGCCATGTGAGGGATCGATGGATTCGCCCTGTTTTTCCGGAGCTGCGACCTCTGCTGGGCCCGCTGACAGCTCCTCCTGCCCGACTGACTGCTCCCGGCCCGCGTTCAACACGTACATCTTCGTCAGCTGAGACGCACTACACCTTCGGCAAGCCCGGAGCGAAAACTTTGCATGGCTTTGCTAAATGTTAGGTCAATACCAAAGCACCGACAGCACCTTTTTTATCTAAAGGCCTAGAGCGAGTAGTCTACGCTCAGCTGCAGTCTTTCTTAACCATCCATGGAATCCATGAAAAGTTTCAGTCTGGCTTCAAACCCATGTACAGTACTGAAACAGCCCTTTTAAGAGTTTTTAATGATCTGCTCCTAGCCGCCGACTCAGGTAGCCCAGCTGTCCTGGTGCTGTTAGACCTGACAGCTGCCTTTGACACTGTGGACCATAGCATCCTGTTGTCACGGCTTGAACAGTCCGCTGGCATCACAGGCTCTGCCCTTGCATGGTTCAGGTCCTACCTGACAGACCGTAGCTTCTCGGTACAGCTAGGTGCCTTTTCCTCTGCCAAAGCCCCTCTTACCTGTGGGGTTCCCCAAGGCTCGATTCTGGGCCCCATCCTTTTTCTACTGTACATACTGCCCCTAGGTTCAATTCTCACAAAACATAACATTCCCTTCCACTGCTACGCTGACGATGTACAGATATATCTGCCTCTCAAAGCAAATGTCAAACACTCACTACAGCAGTTGATGGACTGCTTAACAGAGATAAAATCCTGGCTGAGCAAAAACTTTCTCAACCTCAACGAGAGCAAGACTGAGGTCATCTTTTTTGGACCCCAACCTCCAGCCTCTCCGGTTGATATTCTGGGCTCTCAAAAAAAACATCCTCCCCTCGGTCATGAACCTTGGAGTGACCTTCACCAGCACTTTTAAATTCGACAAGCAGGTCAGCACCGTAGTCAAATCCTGCTTATTTAAAATAAGACTATTGGCCAAGACCAAGTCGTATTTATCTTTTAATGACTTAGAAAGGGTTATTAACGCCTTTGTTACCTCAAGACTGGACTATTGCAACGCTCTGTATGTGGGTATGGACCAGGCCTCAATTAAACGCCTGCAGGTAGTCCAAAACGCAGCTGCACGTTTGCTGACTGGCCACAAAAAGCGTGACCACATCACCCCTATTCTGGCCTCACTGCACTGGCTTCCAGTTCGGCCCAGACCCTAGGCGTTTTTAAATCTACACTAAAAACACACTTCTTCTCTCTGGCCTTCTAGTCAGAGCGGAGCACGACTCCTGACTTTTCCTTGTGTTTATTTTTTATATCTGTTGTAATTTATTGTCTTTGATTGTGATTGTAGTAATGTGTTTTTATTACATGTACAGCACTTTGGCTCGACCAAAAATCGCTTTTAAATGTGCTTTATAAATAAAACTTGATTTGATTTGATATTGTCATTACGTAGTACAGGTGCTATGTAACGAAACGGTTTCTCTGCATTTAACCCATCCTAGTGTTAGGAGCAGTGGGCTGCCATTATGTACGGCGCCCGGGGAGCAGTGTATGGAACGGTGCCTTGCTCAGGGACACCTCGGTAGCACTTGGTCTTTCCGGGACTTGAACTGGTGACCTTCCAGTTGCCAAGCCAAGTCCCTATGGACTTCGCCACCACCACCAAGGAGGATGGTAAACAAACAAAGAGGGATTTGTATTCCTAAATGTTACTCGTAAACTTAACCATGTTAAAGACTCAGAAAGGCTAAACAACAACAAAATATAAATTGATTAACTTAATAAATGTATATTTCCAGCAGTACATTTCACAAATAGCTCCAAATGTCATTTGTTTCTCTCCCCCTCTATTCCTGGAGTGTCATACATTATTTCTAAACAACAGAGCACGTGTTATCTCAAAGATTTACAATACTTATTTTACATTGGAAAAAGGTTACTTTTCATAAAGTTTACACCTTGTTCAAGCTTTAAAAGCAGAATGTCCTTCACACATCAAACTAGCCAAAGATGTAAGTGCTAGTTACATCCAGGAATAAGACGGTTTTAATGTGTTAATGTTACAAAAACATGGCCGACAGATGCTTCTTGACTCGGCGTGTCAGGCATTAGTCTCTTCTTACCCATACTCCTCTCTGTTTTTCCCTTTCAATAACCCTGAACAATTTGTATTGATGATCATCACATTTTACCTTATTTCATTTCAAAAGAAACTGCAACTACTGAGCACATATTGTTTATCCTGTCTTTTATTTGTTAACAATATGATTTGTTGATTACAGTGTACTCTAACTTATTCTGAATATCTTATTGTGTGTCTACCATAGCAACTCTGTAGGTAAGTATATTGTTGATGTTTATATGCATATCGGTTTTTTTTAATAATAGTTTCAACTTTAGTGCAATGCCTTGTTTATTACTTGTTTCTGCAGCTGCAACTAAATATATAAGTAAATATAATCTCATCTAAATAAACCTTCAATAATAAAGAGCAGAAAGAATTAAACTTAAAAAGGCTAATATAGATTAAGACGGGTATAAAAAATAATAATACGAGTTACAATTCAGCGTTCGATTTGAAAAAGTATTTGATTTCTGCTTCAAAGGAGGTGAAAGGACTTCAATTTCAATTGTCCTCAGTCTCTATCCAATCAGCACTGTCTTCAGTCCCAGGTTCAGAAGAGTCTCCAGGGTTGTCCTCAGTCTCTGGTTGTAAATGTCTCTCTGGATCTGAGTTCCTGGCTGGTTCTGGTCCTCCACAGTCCTCTCCATCAGCTTCTGTTTCCAGGTGTTCAGTTTGTCTTTGATGAAGCTGAGAGGACTGAGGTTTCTCTTCATCATCTTCACTCTTCACAGGGACAGGAGTGAATGTGGACTTGGTGATATCAGCCTCCTCCAGCCCTTGAAGCTGCTCTCCCTCCTGACTGATCCAGAGTTCCTCCTGTTCCTCTTTAATGTGTGGGGGGGGCTCTGGGTCCTCCTGGTCCAGACTGGAGCTCCACTCCTGCTGCTCAGGGGGAACCTCTTCTTTAACCACCACCAGCTGCTGGACGTCTGCAGGAAACAGGAAACACACAGAGAGACGTTACAGAGAACAGCTGTTGTGTTCATTACGTCACCGCTCAAAGCCCCGTTTTGAACCCCTTGTTTGTATATTCCTAATTAATATCATAAATACCTATGGCTAATATATTTTTACATTTATGCACCAACAACTATCGCAGAGAAAGGTAAGTGTAATTATAATTGGAGTGGTTTGGTACCCCCTACATGTGGATACAGCTTGGGACCCGGATTGCCTTTTGTGTTTTTAAGGCAGCTCTAAATAGAGATATGAATGATTTAGAAGAGTAACTAGAGCGGTCAGTCAAATGAAGTGCAGTCATGGCCTTACCCCCCATCGGTGAAACACGATAAGAAGTGCTGCTCGAGCGTTAACTTATAAAAATCCTTCAAACATTTGTATTATCTATTCACAAGTTTTAACTTCTGATGTGAACCATGCCTCGCAAAAAAAAGATATCGGAAGACCTACGAGGAAGACATTTAGATTTCACCAAAAGTTAGGGATGCACCGATAGGAGTACGAGTACATGAGGACAGCATCGGCCTGATACCCGTTAATGGGATCGGTATCGTTGCATCCCTAATAAAACACAGAGGGTTACAAATTAATATCAAAGAGTTGAGATATTGATGAAGATGCAGGTTATGTATAATGGGTTACAGGGTTAACCCTTGGTTGTGCAGCCTGATGGCTACAGGCACAAAAGATTGTCCGAGAAGCTTAGTGCTGTGCCGAGGAGGGATGAGTCTGAGGCTCATGGGGGGGGGCGTCTCCTCTCCTCTCTGATGAGCTGCTGCTGAAGGGGGGGGGGGGGGGGGCATGCTGCAGGACTTCCGCCCCGTGTAGCGGGTGTCTGCAGGATCAGTAAATGAAATCCAACATTCAATGTTCTGGGGAGGACGTTGTTTACCCTGTCTGCACTGCTCCTTCAGCGACAGGCTGCTGCACCCCCGCTGTCTCACGGAGAGATACCGCAGGTCCTTCCTTCCTGCAGCGATCAGACTATGTGCTAACTGTGCAATATATACCTGGCTGCTAAATCCTCAGAACTTTAAAAAGAAAAACGTTAATACTTTTGTATGCATGCTTCTACGTAACATTAAGCTGCCTTTGGCTCTTTTCTGTTGTAACGACGTACATTTCCCCTCTGGAAAGTATCCTGATTGATTTGACCTGGGGGCACAACAACACGTTGTACATGATAGGCTAAGGGGCGGGACATCTCTAAGTGGTCGACCAATCACAACAGAGCCGGCCAGCTAACCATTCAGACCAGACTGGGCTCTGGTTTCAGACAGAGGGTGAAAAGAGGCAGTATGACAAAAATAAAGAGCTTTTTCAACATTAAAGCATGGAGACATGTCCCAGTGAAGACAACATACTAATACCAACCTGAAAATGAACAGAAAATGTCATCCTTGTTGTCCTCAGTCTCTGGTTGTAAATGTCTCGCTGGATCTGAGTTCCTGGTTGGTTCTGGTCCTCCACAGTCCTCTCCATCAGCTTCTGTTTCCATGTGTTCAGCTGAGCTGCTGGCTGGAGGCTCTGCCTCTCTGTTCTCCTCAGTTTGAGTTTGATGAAGCTGTGAGGACTGACGACCAACACACTTATGGATTTTGATCTTATGACTCCAGGTGAATCTTTTGTCACAAATACTGCAGCTGAATGGTTTCTCTCCTGTGTGGATTCTCATGTGTTTCTTTAAATGTCCTTTCTGTGTAAAAGAATTGTCACAAACTGAGCAGCTGAATGGTTTCTCACCTGTGTGGATTTTCATGTGTGTCTTTAAATCTCCTTTATGTGTGAAAGACTTCTCACAGACTGAGCAGCTGAATGGTTTCTCTCCTGTGTGGATTCTCATGTGTGTCTTTAAATTTGATTTCTGTGTAAAAGAATTGTCACAAACTGAGCAGCTGAATGGTTTCCCTCCTGTGTGGATTCTCATGTGTTTCTGTAAACTTGATTTCTGTGTAAAAGAATTGTCACAAACTGAGCAGCTGAATGGTTTCCCTCCTCTGTGGATTCTCATGTGTGTCTTTAAATTTGATTTCTGTGTAAAAGAATTGTCACAAACTGAGCAGCTAAATGGTTTCCCTCCTGTGTGGATTCTCATGTGTGTCTTTAAATTTGATTTCTGTGTAAAAGAATTGTTACAAACTGAGCAGCTGAATGGTTTCTCTCCTGTGTGGGTGCTCATGGGTCTATTCAGATGTATCTTGCTGCAATTTTCTTTCCCGCACTGTGAGCATCTAAAGCATTTCTCTCTAGCACCACGTCTTGAATCACTGACAGGGTCTTGTTTATTTCTCTGAGACTTTGAAGCTGGTTCTCTGGTCTCCATCCAATCAGCACTGTCTTCAGTGTCAGGTTCAGAAGAGTCTCCAGGGTAGTCCTCAGTCTCTGGTTGTAAATGTCTCTCTGGATCTGAGTTCCTGGCTGGTTCTGGTCCTCCACAGTCCTCTCCATCAGCTTCTGTTTCCAGGTGTTCAGTTTGTCTTTGATGAAGCTGAGAGGACTGAGGTTTCTCTTCATCATCTTCACTCTTCACAGGGACAGGAGTGAATGTGGACTTGGTGATATCAGCCTCCTCCAGCCCTTGAAGCTGCTCTCCCTCCTGACTGCTCCAGAGTTCCTCCTGTTCCTCTTTAATGTGTGGGGGGGGCTCTGGGTCCTCCTGGTCCAGACTGGAGCTCCACTCCTGCTGCTCAGGGGGAACCTCTTCTTTAACCACCACCAGCTGCTGGACGTCTGCAGGAAACAGGAAACACATATTCAGAGAAACTGTAGAGTATAAGAATTTAAAATCTAACCACGAGTAACACTTCATTAACTTTGCAGCCCTTATCCATTCCTTATTTTAAATGCTTGCCTATTGATTTGCTAAGTCCCCGCCCACTCTGTGTTTCTGTTGGCTCGATTGTCTGTCAATTACACCTTTTTTCCAGATGCTCTGGAGAGCTTCAGGACAACAGGTGAGTTAGTACTGTAGCTGATCTAAATCATAGTAACAGTGCTTAGTTTGGACAGGGAGAGCGTGGGGGCGAAGTTTCTACTTTTCTGTTTGCAGATATGAGTTTCTACATGTAGGTTTGAGTAATTCATGCTAATGTTAGTTAGCAGGGTTAGCTCTGTATTTACTGGCTGCATGAGATGTTGGTCTGTTTTTAGTGATTGTTTTAGAAAGTTGGAGGGGGCTCCTATTAAGGCACTGCTAGCTGTGCCCTTCATTCAACACTTAGAAAATAGGCAGGAGTTGTACTGTTGAGGAACCGGTGACCTACGTTTGCATAGCATAACTACACCGTAGTTGTGTATATGATATGACAATATCACCAAGGGGGGTCCTGTGTGGGTGGAAGCTCATTCCCCAGCAGACCCAGTCCTCCAGAATTGTCCTAATCACAGAGTAAATGAGAAAAAAATTAATTGATCTAATTATACACAGGGTGGCAAAATTATGATTGCAAAATGTAACTCAGCATTACAGACAAAACCATATTTAAAATGACGTACTGTTTTAGTTTAAAAAAGAAATAAGAAGTGACAGTCACAGCTAGCATCCCTTTGACAGCACTCCAAAAACTAAAATCAAGCAAAAGTCTTCTGTCCATTTCTGATGGTCTTATTATTATGAGATAAGGATACATATTTCCTGGATTATTCGAACCACGCTCCGAAGCCTCGGCGCAGTACTTAAAGGTAGGGTAGGTAAGAATGGAGAAACCAGCTCGAGTGCGCTAGAATTTGAAAGAACACAACCGAAAGAAATCTGCCTCTTCCTTCAGACTTCCTCAGAGCCCCTCCTCCAACACAAACAAACGCGCACATGACCAATGAATTACCTACCCTACCTTTAACATCACTATAGATTATGTTCCAAACCACATCAAGCATTATTTCTGAAACAGTATGGAGCTCAAACGCTTTCTCTCTTGCGGGTTTAGCACAAGGTGAGTTCCTTTAATATCCGGCTTCTTCACACATACTCCCTCCAGTACAGCGTTAGCTCTCAGTGTTAGCGATGCTTGCTAATGTAATCAGACCATATTACTCCCAAAACACGTTGCGCATTATTCTGATACAGCGATGTTTCTGATAGGTTGGGGCGGAACGTTTATTCAGTGTTTACCACGAGAACAGTGCCATTGTATGTATTAGTATTGTCACGATACCAACATTTTAGTTTCGATACCAAGTCAAGAATTGCGATTTCTTAAAAAAGGGGAAACTGTCTTAAATGTCATTATTCTGCTTTATTTCAAACCTGGAAAAATGTTTCAGTCATAACACAAACCTTTGAACAATGAGAATAATAAATAAAATAAATTAAAGCAATGGCATTCAAGGTAAAATGACAAGTGCTATGATATTAGGGTCATGCCGAGTCAGATCGCTATCTCTTTAAGAAAGAGAGAGAGGGGTGTGGCGTGTGTGTGTGTGTGTGTGTGTGTGTTTTGAGGCGAACGAAGCAGCAGCAAAATAGGTCTGTCGAGTGTCTTCAAAGTTAGATCTGTAAGAAAGACCTTAATAAATTCAACGGCCCCCAAAGAAGAGCTCGCCGTTCTGCCTTATTTCAAAGTGGGTTATTGAACCCGAAGTTTGTTGCTTCGGGCCTGGAAGACTGCAGAGAGTCATCCCCTGTTTTCCTCGACTACGGTCTGGGAGCCGACAGGAAAGTTTGTATAAACTAAAATAGCAGCATCATCTGAAACAACAAACACAGTCTCTGAGAGGAGCTGACAGGCTGCAGGGAGTGGAAGCAGAGCGCTGAACACACACAGGAAATACGGCTCTTATTAAAACAATGTCAGTCTTAAAGGGCCCATGTCATGGCCGTTTCCACTGATCATAATTCCATTGTTGAGGTATACTAAAATAGATTTATACTGTGCAATTTTCCAAACTCACATTGGTTTCGCATACAGCATCTCTGTAAAGTATGTGTATTCAGCAGTATTCACTCTCTCCACTAAACGGCTCGTTGGAGCTCTTGCCCCCCCCCTCCCTGTGAGCCTAGTGTGCTCCGATTGGTCAGCACGGCCACTCTGTTCTGATTAGTCAACCACCAGAGAGGCTCCGCCCATGTCTAACAGTGCTTTTTTCGGCTCGCTCTGAGTGGAACATCAGTCTTATAATGGCCTCGGTACAGCCGTATATTTTATACGCTAACTAACCGAACTGTACCTACAACTGTTGTTATAGAAGAGTACGTTATTCTTACCTGTAATAAACTACTACTGTTTGATGATAAATCAAATCATGGTTTGCTATATATGAATGATAAGTTATAGGAGCAAATAATTCAGGGAAGAAAGGATACTAAGTATTTCCATCAAACTTTATTTTTAGAAATGTACAAAATGAACATGTGTAAATATACATATATACACTGTATATCATCCATTCCTCCCCTTATAGGCGTTTTTGGCATCTTGCCTATCTAGCTTTGTAAGCTGGTGCCGGGGCTTTTTAGGACGAGGCATGCCCCTTACAGCTAGTTACGAGTTGAATATAATATGTGCTGACTTTTCTTGTACGTTTCACAGTACACCAAACGTCATGCTATTACCAAATTGAGAATGCAAACTTCAGCACTTCAATCAGCCACCCCCTCTCTTAGGGAACGAATGGTTTAGCCCATGGACTCGCTCCAGCACACAAGAGGACTACAAGATACTGATTTTTTTGTCTGTCAACCAACGTCAGTTTTCAGTAGTAACACAACATAAACACTGCCATATTGTTTATTATACACTCAGGACAGGGCTGTTTCTTTAAAAGAGGCCCCAGTCACATCAGTACCAAGTGAGAGAGTTTTTTCCACAGCAGGGGATATTGTAAACGCCCAAAGATCCCAGCTTCTACCTGGAAATGTGGACATGCTCATCTTCCTGAAAAATCCTGTCTGATGAGTGAGAGTGAGTTAGTGAGTTTGAGTTGAGTTACTTGAAATTTATTTAAATTTTATTGCAGGGTCTGATTATTGAATTTCCTTGTTTATTTGCACAAAGAAAATGCCTACTTTGTTAGCACTAGTATATAAAAAAACACTGGTTTGTTCTTGTTCCAGTCTGTTACTGTCACTTTGTTTTTGACACGTTAAATGTACTACTATACTAAAATGCTGTACAAATCAGAATAATAAAGAAAAAAAATTCTAGTAGTGGAGTACAGCGCTTCGCGGCGATTGTCAACGGGGGGGGGTGGACTACAGCGCTTCGCGAAATGAAATGACATAAAATAAACAATATATAGGGGTTGCTTCTTCTCTGAACTTCTATGTATAGAGAGGCGAAGTCACGCCCATCTACTTCCGCCCCTTGGGACCTTATTTCGGAAAAATAATGTATTGAAGTCAATGGAGAGAGAAAACGTATCTTTCGATCCCGTTTGAATTGTGCCATGAATTACACATATGATGTTTGTCAATCTTAAAAAATAATTTCCATGTCAAAAAAGTCACAGTTTGTCGTAAAACTGTTGAAATATAAGACTATGAAAAATACGTAACTAGAAAGACTACAAATCCAAGAGTCGCGTAAGTGATGTCACAATTGTTTTCCTCCACTAAGAGATAGCTAAGATCAGCACCATATAGATAGAATCTATCTATATGGCGCTGGCTAAGATAAGATCACTTTAACAAGATGCCTGTGTGCTTAGTATCAGGTTGTTATCATACCAGCAATGGGTCTTGCTCGTTCTTTCGCTTCCCGTCTGATGAAAGGACCAGGAGTGTCTGGATCAAGTTAGCTACCTAGCTAGTAGCCTTAACATGAAGTAACATTAAGTAACCCAAAATGTTAAACAGTAAGAGTAGTACTCATATTTCGTGAACCCTTTGAAGAGTACTGTCACCGGTGTGGTCATTCTATAATACACACTTTAAGACCGGGGGAGAAATGCTAACGCTAGCATCGGCGATCTTTTGCACTTCATGCTATCTGCACAAATGGTTGACATTAAACATTAAAAAGACCAGGCAGTTCAGAGAGAATCAAAGGAAGGCAGGCAGGCAGCTTTGCATGACATTCTTCTGGACGTGTTTCATTGTGGTGATAGTGAGGGTAGTCAATCGTTTTGTTGACAAGACAGTAGTGACGGCCATCTTGGTGACGTGTGTTGTTGACCAGAGATGTAGTTCATTGAGCGTTTCACACAAACAAATGTGTTACTTCACAGTTTTACGACACTTTTTTTTTTTTTAACTTGCAAAATTATCTTTTAAATTGACAAACATCATATGTGTAATTTGTGGCACAATTCAAACGGGATCGAAAGATAATCTTTCTCTCTCCATTGACTTCAATACATAATTTTTCCGAAATAAGGTCCCATGGAGGTCCACCGGAAGGGGAGGGACTTCGCCACTCTATACTGCATCGCTCCATATCAAATAAACCATAAGCAAATAAAT